GCCTTAAAATGAGGGAATTTTTTTCGGGGACTGTCGTATGTTGTAGACAGTCGGCAGTATTATTTTAATATACATAATATTATGTAATATAGATGTATAGAACTATTTTTTAGTAATTAATTAATTATTGTTAAGGGGCCTCGCTACGGTCATTATTTAAGGGGCAACATTTAGGCAATTTCTAATCTTGTCATTGCCGCCGGGATCTATGTGTTAGTTGTAACTTGTAAATGATATTTAGTGTGAGAAAGATAATATACTTCGATAACCATTATATTTCACTACACGAATTGTACAAAAACATACATTTCCTTTAATAAAATTTAAGTTAATTAACGTTGTCTGATTTTGATTCTGAAAAAATATTTGAATTCAGCAGAAAAATGTCTGTATGTCGTACGAAACATTTTCCATTTTCAATATTAATTTTAATTATGATTCGAAAAAGTTCATATTTTCAAGTTTTCAATTACAGTTCACAGTAGTATAAAATTTAGTTTTTACAAAGTGCTCTGTAAGATCTATAGACAATTTACTGCTGAGATCAAATTTTTTTTTAGAATCAAAATCGGACAACGTATATTAACTTTAATTTTGTCAATACTTCAGCTAAAATTGACCGCAGTAGCGAGGCCCATTAACACTTAAAATAATATGTAGGGCCGATGAAGCAAACAAAGCAACATTATATTTTTAGTTCTTACTATTTAACACCGCCTTCACCGCTCTGCATTGAATGTTTGTGTTTTTAAACCAATAAAAGTGGTTATACTTTTACCGTAACTTTACTGCGCTGCTATATTATTTAATTTTATAATAGTCATTATAGCTTAGAGCAGAGATTCTGAAATTGTTTTTCTTGTAGGTACCACTTATGGATTGATCATATACCATCAAGCCCGGATTAAGGATCAATTGGGCCCCGGGACACCATATACACTTATATAGTGGCCCCCCTTTCAACTTGAACTTCAAAATAATTGTATCATTACATAATATTAAAGACTTAATATTATTGTATAATTTTTTACTGTAAAAAAATATATAGAATGTATCTTAAGTCATTTTAAGAGGCTTTTTTTTTAACAAATATGGATCGATGATAAGGAATTTCTTTGAAACAAAAAAAAAGGGGTTCTCTATTTTTAACAGGCAAATTTTTTTATAACATTTTCAAAATTTTTAAACACACAGTTGTACCATTAATAAAATCGACATTATTTTTTCCAAATGTTAACCATCATATTTTTTTATGGATTCTGGTAAAACTTTTTTTCTGAACATTTTGACAGTAAAATGATCAGTTTTGGTTCACTAGGTTATTAACTATGGTCCTCTAAATTTTAGTATAATATACATTAATACTTTTAACTGAAATATCTAATTTACAAGAGCTTAATATTATTTTCTTATAACTATCTTTTGATATACTTAAATAATTAAATCGGTAATCTAAAATGCTCAAATAAAAAAATAGTTCATTATTTATAGTAATTTTTCGTGATATAAAATTGAGAACAATTTTATTTTATAATTGTTAATAATAACTTAACTAAATACTTACAGCATTTTTTTTTAAACTGTATCGGATGCGTTAAAATTACTTAAAATAGAACTAGGTATTCAAAATGTTATTGCATATATTTATGTATAGGTAGGTACATTATTATTTAACAATAATAATGTATAAAAATAATATTTAGGTACTTTTAACATTAAATTTAGTACCTATTTAGAGAAAATATAAAATAATATTAGATCCCTTACATAATATAAGTAAAAATATTAATTTATTCGTTGTCCGTTGTACCACCACATGGATTTCCGAGTACCACCATGTTACCATCTGCGTACCATTATATAATGGTACGTGCATCACAGTTTGAGAACCACTGGGCAAAGAGTCTACAATAAGGGTAAGACGTCGTAGGTTTATCTATGTCACTCAATATGGGTAATACGACAAAACACAAATTGGAAAACTAAGTAATAAAGGATTACTATATTAAGAATTTGTAACTATAATGATTTAAAACATCCATAGGTTTCAATAAGCAATAGTTAGTACAGTTTTGATAACACGGCGTTATAGATAGGCAAAACATATGCATATATTGCAGTGAGTTTATTTTAGATTATTCCTTAGAGTAAATTTTATATGTTCTTAAAAGTTTAAAATATTATTTTGATATGCTCTAAAAAAACCTGAAAATATTCTCTTAATAATCCTTGAGCTGGTAAAATGTGCTTTTTTTACTTCAAATAATTTAAAAATCTGTTCACAAGATATGATAAGAAACATAATATGTATACCTATGTTTACATTAAACTTAATACATTTATGCCTTCACTTGAAAATAATGATTTCAGATCTTTCTTAAGTATATTATTTAAATGCAGTCACATTTGAAACAATTAAACAATTTAAATAACTAAACAATTTCCAGTTTAAGGTGCTTCGCTACTGCCGTCAATTTTAGCTGAAGTATTGACAAAATTAAAGTTAATATACGTTGTCCGATTTTGATTCTAAAAAAAAAAATTTGATCTCAGCAGTAAATTGCCCATAGATCTTACAGAGCACTTTTTAAAAACTAAATTTTATATTACTGTGAACTGTAATTGAAAACTTGAAAATATGAACTTTTTCGAATCATAATTAAAATTAATATTGAAAATGGAAAATGTTTCGTTTGACATACAGATATTTTTCTGCTGAATTCAAATATTTTTTCAGAATCAAAATCACGTTAACTAACTTCAGTTTTATCAAAACAAATGTATATTTTTGTATAATTCGTGTAGTGAAATTTATATGGTTATCGAAGTATTGACATGTGCATTCGCGTACGAGAGAGGATACCCGCATTTAATTTCACTCACACTAATTATCATTTACAACTAACACATAGATCCAGGCGGAAATGACAAGATTAAAAATTGCCTAAATGTTGCCCCTTAAATAATTACCTAGCGAGGCCCCTTAATAACAAATAAGTTGTTGAACTATTTCTATAATTTTTATTTATTAAGTTAAGAACATTTTTTTTCATGCTACAATATAATTACAATTTGAAAAATGAAGAAATATTATGTGAACAATAATACAATATATTCTTAAACATGAAATATGGGCTGAATCAAAGGGCTTATCATAGGGCTTAAATCAAAAATAATAATACCGTTTACCGTTATATGGATATTAAACGTTATGATCGAATGACTGTTTAACGTTATAAAGAATTTAAACGTTATTAAACTTTTAAACGTTTTATAAATTTAAACGTTATGAAGAGTTTAGCTTTATCTGATGGATAGCTTGTTTCCTACACAAAACAGAATCTTTGTAAAATATAATATTACAAAAATAACCATAATATATATTTTACAGATCGTTATAATTTTATAAATATTTTTTTTTCAGGCAATTATATGTTTCAATTGTTTATTTTTTCTGTTTCGTTATCCGTTATCCGTTTCCAATCGTTTATCGTTTACCGATATGTTATCCGTTAACCGTTTCAATCGTTCATCGTTTACTGGTAGGTTAACTAATATTAATTTCAATCGTTTATCGTTAACCAATATGTTATCCGTTATCGATTTCAATCGTTTTTTGAATTATTTAACGTTATAAAAACTTTTGAAGACCTGGGATGAATATTCTCTTACACTAAAATATGCTTTAATTTATTATAAAATACATTTTTCCTAAGTTAATATATTCTATGGATAAGTCGTTCAAATTGTTCACCATATTTGAGCATAAACTTAATTAACATAATATTTAAAAACCTAAAAACCCAAAACTCATAACTCATAAGTATATATTATTATTTATGCATTCAAATACATTAATTACATTAATATTATGATACATTAAGGTTGACCAAGTTTGTTTTTAACGACTGAATACAATTTTAATATAAAAAAAAGCAATCATCAATATCTAGTATTTATTTGTATGGACAAATTTTAATTGTGTATAAACAGTATTTAAATAAGGCTATGGTTCCGTAATTTTGTTCTACCGTCGGAGTACACACAACAGAATGGTTCGAATGCGTTCTATCGTTCAAAATCAAAATCAATTAAAGCCAACATTTTCTTTAAATTAAATAAGTATGAAAAATAAATTTAAATCCTGAAAACATAATAATTTTTGCCAATAAAAAATTAATTAAGGGGCCTGCGTGTAAACTTTTTTCCCAAACATGCCTTACAGAAAAAGTGAGTGATCAGATTTCAATATTTATTTTATTTTTTTTTTTTGAAAAAGAAAGACTATTTACAGGGTGTACCTGATTTTAATTTACAAAACTCTATTTCTAACCACCGTAGGCTATCAATTTATGGTCGGAGATAAATTTTTTGGTTAGTCTGGTGCTGACTGAGCTCTTGGCACAATTTTTAAATTATATTGTTGTACGATTGAAGTATGACAATTTATTATTGTCGTACACAAATAATTTTTTTTGTGTATTTTAGATTATAGAATAAATATCTTACATCCTTCAAAAGTAGTCTTATGACTACTTACCAATTTTGAAATAGACAATTTTGTCAGAGACAACAGTCTAGAGAAGTCTGCAGGTTGATCTAAGAATATGTAAAATTTATATTTCCTCTTTAATCTCTTTTCAGACAAAGTAAACACCCCTATAATCGTATTTCTTGTTAGTTTAAAAGTCCCGTAATAATAGTACCTACCTACTGTACATTTTGAGCTATTTTTCCTTGGCGACCTTAAATAAAACTTCAGTATCTTATCACCTAGCGACGTGCGTATAAACTAACACACATATCTTTACACAAACAACACAATTATAGGTATCAAATTTTAATACATTACAAACAGACGTCCACATTAACTACTGAACACAAAATTAACTTACACAATCGATTCGAGAACACGGACGAGTCCGCCAATACACGCTAACATAAAATACACATTCTACAACACATCACGTGAACAAATCCAATTACACGAAACCAACATCATGGGCAGGAAGATATTGGGTTGTGACCCCATCGCCAGATTCGTGATTCCCGGCAGTAATGACCCGACCTGCGTTGAGTGCTGCAAGATCACTGAATATGACGTGGACCATACGGTCCTGGATTGCGTGGACGGCGCTAGACCCCTGAAGAGTGTCCGGATGATGGGCTGCTATTTAGAACCCCGCACGGTCGATGGGCACATCATGGACAAGAAAATTCTCGAATACACCAACTCGGGATCCAGGAGTCCGGGGCCGGCTGCTTACTGCGTGAGGACCACGATCGGACCACAAGCCACCGATCCATCGATCGAAAAGAACCCTGCTTACTCGATGCCCGGAAATAAATCCAAAAATGTGAGTGATAAATACCCCTGGCATGATAAAACGATAAAACCAATAATATTACGATCTATACAGGGCATAATATAATTATTAAAAGGGTGCTACTCAGACAGACGAAGTCATCTAATGTTTGACAGAAAGGGCAGCTCTAAGCGTTTTTTTTTAACAAAAATAGTTTTACACGATCTAAAACCAATGGTTTTGAAATTTTTTTAAAATCGCCAGAATATATACACGGTTTACAGAGGAGAAAATTATCTGTGTTAAAACGTTTATAAGTTCAATAATTTAATCCACTAGTTTTTGATAATTTATTGAAAAATTAAAGAAAACATACATTTTACAAATTCACAGAAAAAATGTTTTTATCTTGGTAACACGAAAATGGCCACGATTAGCATGATAATTAATAATCTAAACATGGATAATATTTTCATCTAATTGTCTATGACAATTTAGTAATTTTAGTATTATCACAGTTTACATTTACACTTTTTTAAAAAGGGGTAAGTAGGTAAGCGCCCCATGGGCATTTAATTTGTTACGTGCAATGCCGTGCAGGTTATAACAGAACACAGTTATGTATTGATATAATTTAATAACAAAAGTGCAAATAGCTAAATTTTAAGGGGGACTAAGCCCCCCCACATTATAATATGATATACAATGCAATAGTCCCTACTAACTTTTGAATTGGGGGACTTGGTAGAAATGTGCAGGAACTAAGTCCCCTCAAGTGCCCAACATTTAAGCCAATGTGTGATAACTTATAACGGTTTACTACTCAGGCATGTGGGATCGGCCCAGGACCGGCACACAACACGGTCGGACTTAGCCGCGTAGGCCGTCACCGAGTGCCGGGTGGCCCTTTCGGTCTGCGGGCCTTTGGTCCCGGGTTGGACTGCACCCCTAGCCCTGCCGAATACTGCATGAAGTCGTCGCTTTTAAATATTGGCCATCGGATGGGACCAAGGCCTGGCGCGCGGGGCGGTGGGTACTGTGGACCGGCGCCGAACGCTTACTTTCCGTCATGCCATAATGGCTGTGGGCTGAAAACGTCGCTTGGACAGCGGTTAAAGCAGCCCAAGGTGTGGCCGACGCCCGGCCCCGGACAGTACGATTTACCGCCAGCCGATCTGTATCTGTCTGGCCGGTTTTCGACTGGAAAAACGATTGGCAAGAGACTTACCAACGGCTGCAAACAAGTGACACCAGGCCCAGGCGCGTACGACGCCAAAGCCATGAAATGCTGCACCAGGTTCACTTTCGGCCAAAGGTATCCGGACACGGTACCCACATTCAGCGTCACGGCCGACAACCAACACTTCCGGTGTTGAACGCCGTCTGAACCGAAACGCGTATCGTATTGATCGATTAAAAAACAGCTACTATCACAATGGAAATTAATTTTTTTTTTAAATTATACTACAATATACACCGAAATGCAACATTATTCAACACTTTGTCTTATATTAAATTTCCAACTAAAAAAGGTATTACCATTGATTACGAATACTACCTATATTATAATTATTTTTAGTGTTCATAATCAATGGTATTACATTTTTTATTTTTATTTTATTTACAATCTATATTAAGTAAATTTGATCACGGAGAAAGAAACTAAGTACAAGAGGAACTTGACAAGAGGGAATATCCAGTGATATTACTCAGCAATATGTACAAAAGTAGTAATAACATAGTCTAGTCCGAGTTAGAGACTATATACCAGGGATGACAAATCGGTGGCACTCGAAAAATTAAAAAAATTTCACTATAATATATATTATATAATATTATAATAGGTAAAAATATTTTGAGCATATGGCTTTTATCGGTCAATAACGATTATTCAATTTTAGCTGTAGATAAAATAATAACATATATTATAATATAATACATAATTTTGCGTTTAGTATCTTATCTACGTTTATTGAGAGTAATAAACCTACCTCAGTAAACACGCTAATCAGTCCAAATACGTCTGTCAATATTTGTAAGTGCGCCGTTCTTGAAATTCAGCGTAATAGGGCGATAAGCAAATTGGTCCTAAACATAGGGAACAAGATTATGAGTGTGTGGAATGAAATTCCAAAAGATTATTCCACTTCAAAAATAGTAGCATTAGCTGTTTTGTCTATTTTTTCTTCAACATATTCATGCGAGTCACTATTTTCAGAAATTAATTTTATTAAGTCTGATTTAAGAAACCGACTAACTGATGAATGCAGTGTAGCATGTACTTTATTAAAAGTTATTAATTATAAGAGAAATATCAACGAATTGGCATCAACTATTAAAAAAAAAGAAAATCACATCAAAATAAATAATTATATTATATAATAATACAACCTTTTTTATACTAATACCCTATTATACAATAAAATTACGATAATTTTTTTTTACAATATTGATTATAACATAATATTTTCATGGCACGCTCGAGCAAAAAAAAAAAAGGTAATTTTGGGCACGTAGTGTTCAAATGGTTTGCCACCCCTGTTATATACCTATAGGTATTAACTCCTCTAGATAGTGTGATCTGTCACCATATCTAGCGGTGGGGACTCCTCTGTCTCGCCGAGTAGTACTGTAGTTACCAAAAGGCGAGTGGTCACCTGCACTGTTGTTACGAGGGACCAGAGCCTTTCTTCTTGAGTGATTTTTGAGTATATTCAATAAAGTGTTTTTTAAGATTTATCAGCTAACTGTTGTTTGTTGTTTTTTTGTTTTTGTTGCTTCCCTACTTTATAGGAAAGTCAACATTAATTGGGATTTGTTCTAAAGAATGTAGTGCGTTAGACCTCGAGGTTTCCTAGACACGATAGTGTGTGATTGGGTGGTGGTTTTGATCTGAAACTGCACACGTCGAAATTGTCGTTATCGTTCGATTCGATAACGCGCCGTTAATTATAAAAACAAGAATGTTATTACTTTTTTTTAGATATGTTAATATATTATATTAACCAGCAACAAAATATAATTTAAGCTCAAAAGGTTGTCTATTATTTAAAAAAATTTAAAATATAGTGCCCCCGGTTTGTTTAAGTGAATGATAATACCTATAGATTTTACATAAGAAAAACATGAATTCTCCATGTTGTCAATATTCAGTGCAATATGGGGCAAGCAGAAAAATAAAAAAAAACATAGAAGGAATAATTTGACACAGTGGCGTAGCCAGGGGGGGATTTGGGTGTTTAAACACCCCCCATAGAAATTTTCCCCGCTAATGAATATATTGTTTATAGGGTTCGGGACTGCTTGCATGTTTTATTGTAGTGGTCACTGGTTGTAGATTATTTTAGATAAGTTGTAAATTTGTTCTATGAAATTTTTTTATATGTTTTATCAAAGAAAATTTGAATTTGCATATTTTTGCATATTTTAGGAAAAGTGTACATTTGAGCGATTTTTCGCATATTTGTGCATATTTTGAATTTTTTTTAACTTAAATGTACATACAATTGTCGGGAAAAATCATATCTGGATAACATTGAAAAATATCTTTAAAAATATTATGTTTGGTTAGGTACAATAGGCGCTAATTTTTAGATTTGGGGAGGCGGAAGCCTAAAACCATACTATTATAAAATTGAATAAGCTTAAAAAAATTTAGTAAATGTTTGGGAGGGCTGTTAAAGTTGTTGGTGGAGCTTGGCTACGGTTGGCCCTATTTTGGCATATGGTACGTAAGATTTTATAAGTCTCTTTGTGACAAGACTGTGTTAAAACTATAATATTGACATCTAGATTCTAGATTTTTCGAAGAAATGAAAATCAGTAGATCCGGGTTCTTTTATCACGATTCACGGTGGTAGCATAACACGTTATTCGTTATTCGTTATTACTTATTTATTAACCTAGTATTTTATGCCAGTATTTTTAAAAATTAAGTTGTTTTATTTCACAATAGTTTAAAAATGTCCAAAACATGCAATAGTGTCCTCTGTCCTCCGTCCATCATATTAATCAATATAGGTACTTACCTAAATTAAAATTAGTTAACACGTGTATAAATTATTTGTATCATGTTTATATACCTCCTTATTTTTTAGTTAGTAAAAATTGGCTATTTTATTCAAAATAGCTGCATATATTTAAGCATATTTTGACAATTTTGACTGCATATTTCGATAATTTTTAGTGCATCTAGCCAAGTCCCGAACCATAAATTTATTTATATACGAAAACTGTAAAGACTTGATTTTAATCTATACTTGAACACCCCCCCCCCCCATTTCATAATCCTGGCTACGCCACTGATTTGACAATGTACTATGGTTCAAATGCATCAGAAATGAATAAACCAAACCTTATATAAAAAAAATGTCGAATTGTAAATACATCTAGATTAATTAGTTTTAAAGTTATTTATAATATAATTTCAAAACTGCCCCAAGTAGGCTCGCTTGATGGTAATTAAAACATAATAAAGAACTTAAAAGTTCATCATGTGTTCATCTACATTCTACTGTTATTAATATTTGAATAATATAATATAATAGGTAGGTACCTACAATAATTTATTCCGGCTGGATATAAATGGACGGTCGATAATAAATTTATTACAATCCTGAATAACACATTATATCTTACATTTAGATTTTAAATTATGTCACTTATATTCTGAGGGAATTAAATTCGGTCAGTGTATTATCAAAGCCGGCCTCGGATATATTAATCAGGGGGAAGGGGCTAAGTAAAAATAAAACATCACATATTTATTATTTATAAGTGATAAGCCAATTATAATATTAACTAAAAACTAAAATAAAGGTGAGCATGGCCCCTCGCCACCCCCCCCCCCCCTATGAACGGTTCTATTCTACCAAGAGACCTATATTATGCCTTATATCCTAGTCATCGGATAAAACTTCTAAAACATATATTTAAAGTCGTCATGAAGTTAACTTGAATGATAATTTTTCACTTTTTAGAAACTTAGCTAAGTCCTTCAAAATGTTAGATTTAAATTGTTGATATTATTATAATTTTTAAATTTAAAAATGAAAAAAAAGTGGTTTTCAAGTAGGTAAATTACATGAAAATCAAATATGTTTTCAGAAATGTAATCGGATAAATAAGTTAGTGTAACGGTTAGATAAATATTGATACTTTTGACCAAAAAATAAATAAAACAATTAATATTCATGTAGTGCGTTTCGCATGTATGACTTGTATGAGAGAGAATATTTTATAATAGTATATTATACACACTAATAAATAATAATCACTAGTTACTATACGCTCAAATTTACAACGCACGAAAATAGAGAAAAAATTGCCTATATTGAACTCCTTAAAAACGGTCGGTATTGAATTCACTTAATTAAATGGTACTTCGGATACCTAAAATCTTTATAAGTTCTATAGCAGCCTGTATATTGTTTAATCTATTGCGAGAATAAATTTAAAACAATTACGGTTGAATTTCTTCAGTAAAACCACATATCAGTTCGTGAAAAAACCTTTTTTTATTTTTTTTTTAGGATATGGCTTTCATAAGCAGTAAAATAATAAGTTGACTATGGTGATATCCGATGAAATTTAGTTTTATAAAAGTAGTGCCTTAAATATAAGAGTTAGCATGTTTTTTCTATAATGGATAATTTAGTCCTATAAAACCAAGTCCTATGAAACAAAAAAACTCAAAAATAATAATATATCCTTATAATCCTTAAACATCTTAGTAAATGTTTGTGGAAATCAAAATACTAGGGTGCTTTATGACTTAAAAATATTAAAAATTTTAACCTTCAGATCAGAAGCTAGAAATATTTTGTATTTTCGCGGAATTTATATTTTATAATTATTTAAGATGTACGTTATCAGTTTCAATCACTCAAAAATATTGTTCTCTAAAGCGGCGATTAACAATATTGTTTAGTTGTGTGGACCACTATTTATGTAAAAAAAAAACTCTGAGCACCATTATACAGATATAAAATAAAAACTTTACCATAAAAAATATTTAATTATTATAATAGTAAATTTTTATATAATTTATTATTGTTATTAACCTTTGAGTTAATACCACCTTACTGTAAAATGGTGTGAATAAGTTTGTAGTATAAGTATAAAGTAATCAACAGTTTAAAATTAATCTAAATGTTTTGAACATTTTATTGTGTTTTGAAAATAAAATATTATACTTAAAAGTATCAAGTCCCCTACAAATAGTAATTTTGAATTACAACAAATTAACTAAAATTGTTATTGTTTGTTTAAATACCTAGGTATCTAATTTTCTACAAAATTAATCTTCAAATGTTTATAAAAAAAATCCATGGCTATATAAATTACATATTTTGTAAATCATTTAATAACAGTCACT